GTTATAATTCATTTGTTAATGTACGTTCCACATTCTAGCAATACAATTCTTTGTCTGAATTCTTTCTACGACTTTTGCAATCCCCACGTCTAACTTGATTGTTGGAGGGCTTTTCGACAGATCAATTTCGGCTTAGTTTACGTTTTCTCAGATCGCAGGTATCTCTGGATCATCAAACTCGTTAGCCAGTAATTCACTTTGCTCTTCGAGCTCATCCTACTTCAACTACATCAGGTGATTTATCTCTTGTATCATCAACTTCAAACAAAATTGAAACCAAATTAAAAACAACAAAATCACAACAAACCATCAACAATTATCCCAACATTCAATGCTCAACATATATATTTATTTAATAGTCATCCAATATTTAATTTAACAACCTTTGAAGCAATTTCAAAGATTTTATAAAAAAAATTGAAAATCACTTTTGTTCTTTCTTTTGTTGGGGTTTAGTCATAGTTTATAAATGACGGTGGTAGCGACGGTGCAGGTTGGTTGGTTTGGGAGTTGTGGAGAGTTTTTTTTTTTTTTTTTTTGAAGTAATAAAAATAGGGATTTTGTGCATAAGTCCCTAACAAAGTATTTTTATTATTTTAGGTGTATGGGCTATATCTCTTTCATCAATAAGCTCATCCCTTTAATCTTTATTATAAATAAAGCAAAATTCGGATATATGGCAAAATTACCCCAACCCTTTACACTCAAATTTTAATTGTAACCCCAATTTAATCAATTTTGATCACAAAAATTCAATTTTCACCTTTTTTTTTCAATTTTTTTTTTTTCAAAAAATATTTTTTTGCAGCCGGATTCGGGCGTTGACTTTTCCTTTTTTTCTGGTCTGCTTTTTTCAGCGCCGGATTCCGGCGTTGACTTTTTTTATTATTTTTTTTTACGCCTACCGCTTAACGTTGACCGTAATTGTGTTGTCATTAACGATAATTATACTGTCATTGACAGTAAATTAACGTAATTGTACTGCCTTTGACAGTACATTTATGTAATTATATTGCCGTTGACAGTACAATTAGAGTCAATGACAGTAATTATTTATTTTTTTTCATTTTTTTTTATTTTGTTTGATTTGTTGACAAGTCAACGTAATTATATTATTGTCATTGACAATAAAATAACTGTAAACACAATAATATTACTGTCAACCACATCAATATTATTATTTTTTTGGGTTTTTTTGTTTTGTTTGAGTTATTCACGGAGTAATGTAATAATATTAATGTCTATTATTGTAATATTAGTGTAAACACAATAATATTACTGTGGTTGACGGTAATATTACTGTTATAGTAATATTACTGTCAACCACATCAATATTATTATTTTTTTTGGGTTTTTTTTTTTTGTTTTGTTTGAGTTATTAACGGAATTATTATTTTTTTTTTTTGATTTGTTGACAAGTCAACGTAATTATATTAATGTCATTGACAGTAAAATAACTGTAAACACAATAATATTACTGTCAACCATATCAATATTATTATTTTTTTGGATTTTTTTTTTTTGTGTTGTTTGAGTTATTCATGGTGTAACGTAATAATATTACTGTCTATTATTGCAATATTACTGTAAACACAATAATATTACTGTGGTTGACGGTCATATTACTGGTGTTATAGTAATATTACTGTCACTCAGTTATATTAATTCTTTTGGCTTTTTATTATGTTTACGGTCAACATATTAATATTACTCTATTTCACAATAATAATGAGTTTTATTGTGTTAATATAATTGTGCTAGAGATTAATATAGCAATATTACTGTGTCAAACTGTAGTAGTGTTAATTTTATTGTGTTTAATAGTAATATAGTTAATATTACTGTCAATCACAACAATATTGATGTTTAAAGGGGGAAAAATGTTAAAGAAGAATAAAAATGAAAAAAGGTCAACGCCGGAGACCGGCAAACGGTGGCGGAAAAATCAGGAAGAGAAAAAAAAAAAAAGGTCAACGGCGATGACGGACGAAATTGTCCATAAAAATGTGTTTTGGATTAAAATTGAATAATTTGTGAAATTTGGGGTCAAATTGAGGTTAGATTAAATTAAATGATGAAATTGAAGCATATTAAAGCATGAGGGGCTATTTTAGTCTTTTACAAACCCCCAGACCATGGGTGGACTTTTTTGTAAAAGAGTTTATTGTCTGGATCTCTTTATGAATAAGTAACCGTTGATGGGCTTATTTGTAAAGTGCCCATAAAAATATGATTAAAATTATTTTTTTTATTTACTTTGTATAAGTTATATTCATTAGGATATTTTTATACTTTGTGGTATTAATTTTAGCCGCCCCGATCGAAAATACACCGATGAGTGTAAATCTTTGTTGCTAGATGACGTGAATACGTTGATCATAAATGGGGTTTTGAGGGGTGAGTTTGGTAGGGCAACCGTACCAAACCTCTTGAATCACTACCATTACCGAAATTTCGCTATTATGAAATTCATTATCATTGTCCTACCAAAAATTTCACTATACCAAAACTTTGGTATGATACGGTATGACAATGGTAATTACCAATTTACGTTATCTACTGTTTGTGTTAAAATTGAATATCATTTTTTTTAAACAATCTATGGCATATACTTGTTTAAAATTATCAAAATTAAAATTTAAGATATAAGTGTTCTAAATATATTTTCTTAACTTATTTAATATAAAATACTTCTTAAATAAAATTATAGCATAAAAAATCTTAATGTAAATTATGTCATCGTTAATAAAAGCATTCAAAATATTTTTGACATATATAAAAAGTACAACTAAATTTTACTATTTTAATAGTTTTTTTTTTTTTTTGAGAACAAGACTATTTTAGTAGTTACTTAGCTACTATTTTCATTTATTATATAAAATAAATTAGTTTTGAAATAAAAATTATTTATTTTTACAAATTAATAATATTTCGGTACGGTAGGGTAATTACCCTACCGTATTTTAATACCGTTTTAATAATTATAATACCGTTTTAATAATACCATTCTGTTATAAAATAACAGAAACAAACGCGTAGCATTTCCTGTTTGAGAATTACATGAAACCAAAACAGAAAAAAAAAATGGTAAGAAGTTCAATTAATTAATTAGTTAATTAATTAATTAATTAATTAATTAAAGGAGAATGTAGTAATACTAGGATACATATGCATGCAGCATGACAGTTAATGAAATTAACATACCGAAAATTCCAACAAAAAAAAAATTAATATCTCACAAAGAAAAAGAAAAAAAAGAAAATGAATATTATATTTAATACAAGAAAATATTAGTTGGTTTGTTGAGCAAAGAGGTGAGAGATTGAGGGTGGTTTATATAGAACCAAAATACAACACTTACTCTTTTCTTTACCAGATTACGTCCTTGTCCACAACTATCAAAATTATTAAAACGGTATTATAATACCGTTTTAATAATATTGAGTATTGTTGCTCCTACCAAAATATTTCATTACGGTACGATGGTTCAGAGGATAAATTGATTCTCTCTGAATTGTGAATACTTCTCTCTGAATTGTGAATACAAGTATAGAATTTGCATGGCAATTGCTTACAAGGATTACAGATGGCATAAGAGACCAAAAGCAATAATTAAAAACATTGCGGTGAGCGTGGATCGAACACGCGACCTTCAGATCTTCAGTCTGACGCTCTCCCAACTGAGCTATCCCCGCTTGTTGTACGTTTCTATATCTAAATAAGAATTGTTAAATGTTTAGCTACATCCTATTCTTGAGAATGTTCAAAGGATATGTGGTATATTCGTTGCAAGCTTGAACTTGGAATAATGAAATGCAAGCAAAGCTAACAAATTAATACCCAATACTAGCAAATTAAATGTACTAGTATATATACAATTTGTATCATGAGAAAACCCCACCACCAGTATATCATATGATGCGGCTCTGCAATAATAATGAGCAACCTATATTAATGTTCTACTTGTAGACACACACAAAATTTTCATGACCAACATTTGGGTTTTCTTCAGATAAATGAAATTCAAATCTCGAAACCATTTGGCGGTTAGGCAATGGTTTTTGGATGACATGTCCACCCTTGGGCAAGGGTGGACTCAAGCCCACTCTCACTTGAAAATATTTTCACCATATTATATCTTATTTTTCAATTAGTCCACCCAGCTTTAATTGGTTAGCCCACCCATCAAAGCTCAAACTAATTATTTGTTCAGTCCTCTTCATTCTAATTTTTTATCTACTGCGTTACTTTTGTTCAGTCAATTCTTCTGCGTTCTGCCCAATTTTGCTTCTGCCCGATTCTGATTCCGTTGAGTAAGGTTTTCTCCTTCCTATTCTGCCCAATTTTGCTTCTGCCCAATTTTTCTCCTTCCGTTGATTCCGATTATGCGTTCTGCCCAATTTTTTAAACAATTTTGCTTGCCATATTCTCCTTCCTATTCTAAGATTGAGTTTCAATATATTTCAACTGATTAATGTTTTCTCTCATCTCAATTTAGCATCAATATTAATAATATTATTATTATGTGAATTTTAGACCTATTTGTCTTTACTGTTTATAAATTTATCAGTACCCTTTGGCTCATTTTTGTATTTTCATTTCTTTGATTTGTACAAATATATGTATGTTTAGTATTAATTGTTTAAAATAAAGAGTTGAAATTCAGATTTTTTGTGTTATAGATTTATAGGAAGTCTGACACATTTTGCCATTACTCTAATTAATTATTATTTTTTGTATCATCATAGTAGATGAGCTTTATAGATTTAAATATATATAAATATTTGATATAATATATATGTATATCTTCTGATAAAAAATGTAGTTCAATAAATTTGATTAACAGCAAGTCAGTAAGTAATATTAGAGATACAACAATTTTGTTTCACATTTGTTATGACAGAATTTATATTTTTAGTTCTATAATATGATGGTACTTTTTTCATTGAGTGTTATGTTGATTTTGATTAATGTATTTTATTTTAAATTATCAAACAGTTATGCTGAGATTTTTTAAAGGAAAGTTGCCTCCCGTCCATGAAGATGACGATTCTTCATCCAATCAAACACTAATGGAGATCAACTTAGAAGATATTCCTGCAGATCCTGGTCAAAGACCTGGTATTTTACAGTATAATATTAATGATCGAGATCGAGTTCGTAGAGCATATTTACAAAAGGGCCCTTGCCAACCTCATAACCACGATTTCCCTCTCAAAAAATTTGGCAACCAAAATAGAAAGTTTAATAAAGTTTGGTTCACCGAATATAGTACTTGGTTGGAGTATAGTGTATCCAAAGATGCTGTATACTGTTTATGTTGTTATCTTTTCAAACCGGATGTTGGAGGTCAATCGGGTGGTGATCATTTTGGTTCTGAAGGATTTACTAATTGGAAAAGAAATGACAAATTGTCGATTCATGTAGGGGGTCCTAATAGTGCACACAATAAAGCTTGGGGGAAATGTGCAGATTTGATGAATCAAAATCAACATATTGAGACAATTGTTTGCAAGCAGTCTGATAAAGAAAAGGGTAAATATAAAATGCGTTTGAATACTTCAATTGAGGTGGCTCGATATCTCTCAACACAGGGATTGGCATTTCGTGGTCATGATGAAAGTGAAAGTTCGGCTAATCCAGGAAATTTTATTGCACTTGTGAAGACTTTTGGCCGAATTAATTCAGACATTGAAGCAATTACTTTGAAGAATGCTCCACTAAACCACAAGATGATATGTTCGGATATTCAAAAAGAGATTGTAAATGCATTTGCAATGGAAGTTCTGAGAGCAATTATAAGTGATATTGGTGATTCGACGTTTTGTCTTATGGTTGATGAAGCACGAGATATATCAATGAAGGAGCAAATGGCCTTAGTGGTAAGGTATGTCGACAAGTCTGGTAGTGTGATTGAACGATTTCTTGGAGTTGAACATGTTACTGATACTAGTGCTTTGACACTTAAATCAACGATTGATGATTTTTTTTCTCGATATGGTTTGAGTGTCTCCAAATTACGAGGTCAAGGTTATGCTGGAGCTAGTAATATGAAAGGTCATTTAATGGCCTAAAGACACTTATCTTGAATGAGAACCCTTGTGCATATTATATTCATTGCTTTGCTCATCAGCTACAATTAGCTTTAGTAGCGGTTGCTAGGAAGCACCTCAATTGAAGTATTCAAAGATGCTGTATACTGTTTATGTTGTTATCTTTTCAAACCGGATGTTGGAGGTCAATCGGGTGGTGATCATTTTGGTTCTGAAGGATTTACTAATTGGAAAAGAAATGACAAATTGTCGATTCATGTAGGGGGTCCTAATAGTGCACACAATAAAGCTTGGGGGAAATGTGCAGATTTGATGAATCAAAATCAACATATTGAGACAATTGTTTGCAAGCAGTCTGATAAAGAAAAGGGTAAATATAAAATGCGTTTGAATACTTCAATTGAGGTGGCTCGATATCTCTCAACACACGGATTGGCATTTCGTGGTCATGATGAAAGTGAAAGTTCGGCTAATCCAGGAAATTTTATTGCACTTGTGAAGACTTTTGGCCGAATTAATTCAGACATTGAAGCAATTACTTTGAAGAATGCTCCACTAAACCACAAGATGATATGTTCGGATATTCAAAAAGAGATTGTAAATGCATTTGCAATGGAAGTTCTGAGAGCAATTATAAGTGATATTGGTGATTCGACGTTTTGTCTTATGGTTGATGAAGCACGAGATATATCAATGAAGGAGCAAATGGCCTTAGTGGTAAGGTATGTCGACAAGTCTGGTAGTGTGATTGAACGATTTCTTGGAGTTGAACATGTTACTGATACTAGTGCTTTGACACTTAAATCAACGATTGATGATTTTTTTTCTCGATATGGTTTGAGTGTCTCCAAATTACGAGGTCAAGGTTATGCTGGAGCTAGTAATATGAAAGGTCATTTAATGGCCTAAAGACACTTATCTTGAATGAGAACCCTTGTGCATATTATATTCATTGCTTTGCTCATCAGCTACAATTAGCTTTAGTAGCGGTTGCTAGGAAGCACGGTCATATTTCTTCACTTTTTGATTTTACCACAAGAGTGTTGAATGTTGTTGGTTCATCATGTAAACGTCGTGATTTGCTAAGAGAGAAGCAATCTGAAAAGATAATCGAGGCACTTGATATGGGGGATATTTCAAGTGGGCGAGGTTTAAATCAAGAAACGAATCTCAAGCGAGCAGGTTACATTATTTTAAGCTTCAATATTTTCTTCTTCATTTTTATGAATGTGGCATCACTTATCTTTCTTTCTTTTTTTCTTTTTATATATGTAGGTGATACACGTTGGAGCTCCCATTACAACACTTTATTGAGTTTGATCAATATGTTTGATGCGGTAATTGACGTACTTGAAATTATTGGTCGTGATGCTTCAAGTACAAGTCATCGGACAGAAGCACAAGACATTGTTGATAGGCTTTTGTCGTTTGATTTTATAATGAGCCTTTTTTTGATGAAAAATATATTGGCATCACAAATGAGCTATCTCAAGTACTTCAAAGGAAAGATCAAGATATTGTGAACGCAATGAAATTAGTTCAAGTGTCAAAAATTCAAATTCAATCATTTCGAGACAGTGGATGGAGTTCTTTATTTGATTGTGTAACCATTTTTTGTAAGAAACATGGGGTTGATGTTCCTCAAATGGATGCTAAATATATTTCTCGAGGGCGAAGAAGAAGAAATGACAAATCTACATCATTATAAGATTGAGACATTTTACACTATTGTGGATATGCAACTTGGAGAACTAAATGCTCGATTCTCTGATTCAACTATGGAATTACTTATGTGCATCGCTTGCCTTGATCCATCTAATTCATTCTCTCATTTTGACAAGGAAAAATTACTTCGTTTTGTTGAATTCTATCCACAAGACTTCACAGAGCACGATAAGTGTAAGCTTGGTGATCAATTGGATAACTACATTGTTGATATGCGCGTAAGCAGTGAATTTTCTGGTTTGAAAGGAATTAGTGATCTTGCACGCAAAATGGTTGAAATTAAGAGAAACAAGGTGTATCCTTTGGTTTATTTGATTTTGACATTGGCATTAACGTTGCTGGTTGCTACTGCTACTGTCGAGAGAGCATTTTCAGCTATGAATATCATAAAGAGTAGATTGCGAAGTCGGATGAATGATGAATGGTTGAGTGATTCTTTGCTTATCTTTATTGAAAGAGATATCTCCGTCAAAATTGATAATGATACAATTATGAATAGTTTTCAAAAAATGAAAACTCGAAAAGGCCAATTGTACTTTGTAAAGAGGTTACTTGATTATATTTTGAAATGCTATTTTTGAGAGTTTAAGTTACGTTATTTTAAATAAATTTAATATTTATTCACTTGTTTTGCTCTAGTTAATGCAAAATTGTCTAAAAAAAAATTTTCGGGGGCGCTGCCCCCGAACCCCCAATATACTTAAGCCCCTCTGTAAAACATTTCTGGCCTCGCCACTGATTACGTGTACACTAGGAATTACTGAACCACGGCCTTCTCTATTTCATTTTGCATTCAATATCAATTACAGAATACAACAGATAAAATAAGAGATCAAAATAACTGGGAAATGGACAAATTGGAATTGAGAATTATGTAATTAACTAGAGAATGTTGAGTACTAATATAATGGCACGTATCCGAGGTACATTACTGAGTCGGGTTACGGGTATTGGAACCGACCAAGAACCGACCCGTATAAATATATTATATTTTATAGTTAATTTATATATACTAATTAAATTAGGATTTCATTCATCAAACTTTAAACTTTCATTGTGTCTATTCTAATTTCCAGTTTTTTACGGTGTACGTTATTTTTTTGAATCTTGTTTCTCGTAAGTAATATCTATCAAACTTGTCGACTACCGCTAGTCGTCTTGCTCTTTGAAGTTTTTTACTGTAGAAGTTATATATAATTAATTATATAATTTTATTATTTACTTTATATCACTAGTACAAGTTTTTTAAAATATTGCAATTTAATTTTGAGAGTTTTGTTGTTAAAATATACGAGCAAAATACTATGAAAGTTAAAAAAATATTAATATTTTTTTTTAATGTTAGCAGATTTAGGGGATCTGACGGGTTAGAACCGTTTAATTCGGTTATGAGTTGGGGCGGGTCCGGATCTAAGCTAAAATGGATTGTACGGATTTGGGTTTTATATATTTTTTGTAAGTCGGGTCTCGAATTTAGGTAAACCCGCCCCATAACCGACCCGTTGTCATTTCTAGTTACCACTATCAGTAATAAAACTAATAATTAATATTTGACTAAATATTATGGGTTTGCTAAATGTTTGGTTGATAATAAAATCTAAAGTCTGCAATAAAATATCACTACCCATTGAAATAGTAGTGACTCTTCCTCTACGATTAAATGTTTAGGCGATTAATACAAGACTAAAATAAATAATAGATTATTGTTAATCTATTATTATTGTGGGAAAATCACATCTAGTACTCACTTTTAACAAATTTAATTGTAGATCTTAATTACTTTAATATCAAAAAGTGAACATCTACTAATGAAATAAGTAGTTAGTAGTTAATAAATTAATTGATGACCAAATAGATGCAAGGAAAGAGTTGATTGGATAACGATTTCAAAGCCTTTTTATGATTTTTTACATGCAAGGGTTTATATTTCGCACAAAAAATATCTAAAGAGTCTTTTTTAACTTAAAATAATCGTGTTTTTGTCAAAGTAGTGGTCGGTCATATTATATCCTCTTAATAGGTTTTTTAATTCAGCAAACCATTAAAAAAATGATTGATTGTTACGATAAGAAGGAAAAACATAATTTTTATTTTTATTTTTTTTATTTCAAACTATATATCGTACTTAATTTGAACTATTATGTGACCGAATATGAAAAATCAAGTTTATCGAATATGAAAAATCTAGTTAAAAGAAGTGTTGGAGATTATATCAAATAGCCCAAAAAATAGGGATAATTTGACAAAACCCCCTTATTACACAAGTATCATTACAATGAGCCCAATTTTATTTTACATTTTTAAAGTAAATCCAAAACAATTTTATTTAATTAAAAACACTTAATTATCACCATTATATTCCTAATTAAGAAAAAAATATATTTAATTCTGATATTAAAAGATATATAATATTTTTCTATTAAGGGATTCTAATAATTAGGGAGTTAATTACCCATTGTAATAACCATATTCTCTCCTCCTATCTAATAACCTCCATTTTAATTGTTTGGCAAACTCAAGATTCAATAACACCAACCCATCATGGGAATCACAAAAACAAGCAAAAAAAGAAGAACCCTTTAATCTTTTTTAGGGGTGGTTTAGCTACTGACAATGGCCTCTCCTTTTTTCTCTGTCTACATGTTTTTTCTCTCACTTTTCCCCGTTGGGAGCTTAAAAAAATCCAATATAATTGCAGAGATATAATACATGTTTGTGTTTTTATTCGGATTTTTTTATTTTATTTTAATGATTGTTGGTCATGCGAATTTGTATTATACGGAGTGGTTTTCATGTTTACGTAGCTGTTATACAGAATGATTTTCGTGTTGACATAGCTGTTATACAGAGTGGTTTTTGTGTTTATATAACTGTTTATACAGAGTGGTTTTTATGTTGGCATAGTTGTTATACGGAGTGGTTTCAAGTTTACATAGTTCTACAGAGTGGTTTTCAAGTATACATAATAGTTATACAGAGTAGTTTTCATGTTACATAGTAGTTGTTATACAGACTGATTTTCATGTTTATATAGTTGTTTATACAGAGTGGTTTTTTTTTTCTTTTTTTTTTTCCGATCAATACAGACTGGTTTTCATATTTATATAGAGTGGTTTTTATTTAAAAAAATGGAAATAAAAAAAAATCCATTTTTTTAAATTAAAATAAAAAAACATGAAAAAATATAAATAAGAAAAAAATAATTTAAAATAAAAAACCGAAAATAAAAAGAAAAAAATATAAAAATAAAAAAAACTATAAATTTTTCTTTTAAATCGAAATAAAGAAAACCATTAAACAAAATAAAAAAGAAAAAGAAAAAGAAAAACTGAACTAGCGTGATGGGGAAATAATTTTTGGAGAAGATTTGGGTGTAGATTATGGATATAATTTTTTTTTTAAATTGAATAATTGTACTAATTAATAATTAATTGGGACATATATGATTTTTCAGGTCCATTAAATTTATGTCAAATATCATTTACTAATAAAGGATTTATCAAGTAAATTTCAATGCGGGGTTTTGTCATATAGCCCCCAAAAAATAAGCCGAACATGCAAATTTACAATTTAGAAATTACCTATAATTTAAAATAATAAATTATAAATATTAATTTAACAATTTATTTAATTATTATTAATTATTTTTAATTTGAAATAATAACCCGTGGATGGGCTAAAAGAGTAGCTAGTAAAATGACTCTTGGTTCGTTGAGACATGTTGAAGCCGGTTAATACAACAATATGTGGATGAGAGAGGCGGATCATACGTGTGGATATTATGTGTTACTACTTACTAGTAGTTGATGAAATGGATTTCATCCGAAAACATAAAGTATCCCATAAATCAATTAGACGATCGATGCAGACGACGACGACACATCTGTTTAGTTTGAGTTGCCCTCCTCCTCGTCGTCGTCAGTTGAGACCAATCTGTAATCAGCTTGGAAAGCAGACAAGTAAGAAAGTAAGCCTGAAAAACATATGGCCTTCTGTCTCACTTTCACTTTTCGGCTGTGGTTTCTTCATTGGTCCCCTGATTGATGGATTGCATTCCAGAGTCAATCTTGTTGTCTACCAAAACGGTGCTATCGATATCGGCCCTCTCCACACTAATATATGGGTGCCTCCTCTACTTGGTGTTTTCTACTGCAGTTTTGGTTTATTACAACTTCTTCTTGATGAAATATTATCTCCTGCTGCACCTCCACAACGTAGCCCAGATAGACTAGCTGCTTCTTTCATGTGAGTCTCTCTGTTCGTTTATAAAAATAACCGTAGATCTTGTAAAATTGTGTATACTCCTCTGTTATGTTTTTATTTATTTTTTATTTCAGAGCCCTTGTTGTATTCATTGAATTGAGCGCCGAATTGTATAAAGCTGGCGTGGCGGACAATATCGAAGCGTACATATTATTTGCAGGGGCAGAGTTAGTATGGTTATTGCTGGATAAGACGAGGCTCGGATTTGCAATTGCTTGTCTCGTAGGCCTTTGTTGCCCACTCGCCGAAATTCCCATAATGAAGTATGATTGTTCAAACATATATACATAATGAAAACTAAATTTTGCTTTATGTTATTTTATTTATTTCATTTGATTTTTCAGATTATATCATCTGTGGTACTATCCAGAAGCAAATGTTGAAATTTTCGGACAGGTATATATTGTATTTGGACTTGTTACTAACTAATAATTAATTAATCAACAGATTATTTGTAAGGTGTGGTTTTGTTGATGAATGCAGGGGTTGGTAACTTGGACCATCACTTGCTATTTTGTGTATACTCCGTTCCTCGTAAATCTTTGCCGTTGGCTAAAAACCGTAGTCGTTTCTGCAAGTGCTGAAGACAAAGCTCTGTAGGTAGAGACTAGAGAGTACTATTATTTTGTTCGAATATGTTCAACACAGAAAACACAAATTGCCTATTTAGTTTAATTTGCCGGTATCGAGCTTAGTTTTCATTAGACAAGATATATCTTCTGGAGTATTTTTTGTATGGTTGTTATTACAGAAGATATATTAATATATGAGTTTTTTTTACAAATAACACCCCTGTGAAATCTTGAACGGCTAAAAAATCCCCTATGTTACAAAAAATCACTAAAATCCCACTATGAACATTAGTCAAAGGCACTTTCCCCCTTAAATTGATTTCGTGTTGTGCACCCGCGGATTGTGCGACTGAAGATGCAATATTTGATACGAAAAGTCAGAATTGCCCCTCTAAGATGATGTGATTACCCACCTAGTTTACCACTCTCCTCTCTCCTCTCTCCTCCCTCTCCTATCTCCCTCTCGTGTCTTCGTCTTCATTTTTCTTCCTAGAAACTCAGTAATCAATGGAGAATTCAAAATAATGATTTTAAGAAATTAGGATTTTGCACATGAATTACAAGGAAACGACAATACACTTTTATACCAATTATCCGAATACTCCAACTCAATAATTTCCTCGCCGGCACCTCTCGACGGCCCACCACCCCCGTCCATTCCTCTTCAGCCGGTGTTGCATATTCCGGCGCAGATTCATACAGCAACGCCTGAACATGACTATAGTTGAATATGACCATATGTGACTATATCAACTGTAGTCATATTATTTCTTTATATTGCAGGTTTTTACATTTTCAATTTAAAAATTCCGATTATATAGTGTGGTACAGTTATGTTTATCAAATTATATAAAACAACGAAGATTGCCTATTGTTTACAAAAACAATTCAATCAACATCCACACAAAAAATCACAATTTGAATATTGTTATTACAAATCAACTTGAAACGAAAAAGATAGAACATATTTAAATATGACTACAGTCATATTCAACAATATTCATATTCTAATATGACTACAGTCATATTCAGACAATAGTCATATTTGAATATGACTATAGTTATGTTACTGCTGCTAGTTCAGATCTGAAGAAAAAAAATATATTCGAATATGACTATAGTCATTTTAATACTGCTAGTTTAGATCTGGAAAAAAAAAAGTGAAAAAGAAATAAAAAAATAGAGAAATAGAGACAAAAATATAACGAAAGAGAGGGAGGGGAAGTCGACGACAACGGCGGTGGCAGCGGTGAACTAAAGCGAGAGTGAGAGAGCGGCGACGGTGGTGGTGGACAGATCTGAAAAAAAAAAAAAAAAAAAGGGCAAATGACAAATAGGCTCATGCATGACAAGGGACTTAAATGCACATAGGTCTAAACAAACAGTCTTGCAAATAAATTCATTCTCATGTCTTTTGTTTAAAATACTCTCCATAATATAAATATATCAATTTCATCCATTATACTCTAACTTTCTCAATATTACACATTGACTAACCCCCATTTTTCATAATTTTGAAAAATATTTTTTCAGAAAATAATGTTTTTCTGAATTTTTTTCCGGCCAAATTCCGGCGTTGACATTTTTATTTTTTTTTTGGAATTTTTTCTATGATATAGTTGTACACCATTAATCTTTAAGACTTACTTGACTTTAATTATAACTCTAGGGACGAGTTTAAACCACAACGTGTTGTGGGCCCACGACTAGCTTACACCTGAACCATCGAGGATCACACTGCTTGTGTACTTGAAATCCTTAAATGCAACGAGCTAAGATTTATTAGTTAATCTTAGTGTAATTGGAAGTCCATGTGATTAAGTCCAACATTCATAATTTTTAATCATGGATGAGAATAAGTAAAGGATAAGAATCCGACGGAAATTTAGTGAACTTTCTATATAAGGAAGTTTCCCGATTTGGCAAGTCTTAAATTAGGGTTTCCAATTTCGAAAATTGGAAAATTTCAAAGTGGTACTCGTATCGACGAGAATTTTGTGCTCGTCATCAAAATATATTTTTTGTATTTTTGCAAGCATTCGTTTTCTCGAAACGAGCCGAAGAAGAGAGTGGGCTTAAGCTGTTGGGTTTAACCCAACTTAAGCATGTTAGGGCTTTCACAAGGACCGCATAATTATGATTTATATGTCTTGTGAATGATAAACAAGACAAGAATGAAACACATCTCTCTCCATCAGTGTCCACCTTTGTTGTGTTATTGTTGTTGTTGTTATTGTTATTATTATTATTATTTGCATCTTTCACGTGCGATGCACCGGTTAACATTTCAAAGTTTAAAATAATGACTAATTTAATACGTGAAAATAACAATTATAATAAAATTTATTATTATTATTAGGCCAAATATCATCATTAGTCCCTCATGTCTAGGTTTCATACTACTATAGTCCCTCATCTCTCAAATGCACCGCCAAATTCCCTCATCTTTTATGAGTATACCAATGTTGTCCTTGGTTACATATTCCCGTTATATACTAACGGAAAGTCACAATACATAATTAATACGGATAATTTGACAAACACCCCTCATTAGACTCCTTCAATTACAATGAGTCCAAAAAAAATTTACATTTTTATGATAAATCCAAAATAATTTTAATTAATACAAATAAATATAGTTTCACGATTATACACTTTCTGATATCAATTTTCTTTTTATTTTATATTGAGTTATTTCTCAAACCCTAGATCTTATATTTGCATCACGATGGTTCCTTCTATCTTCTCTCTACACCCAAAGCACCACTGCCCCATCAAACGACGAAGCCTTCTCCGCCCTACTCATCCTGGCGAGATCTCTCGCTCCACCACAGATGGAATTGGTCCTGCACCACTCTCGCGTCGTCGGCCCCTTTCTCTTCCCTCTCCACCGTCTCGGCCTTATTTGCTCTCTCTCCGCCGCCGTGCATCCTCCTCAATTAGATGCTATTAGCAATCGTCTGTTCCATTCTTTTTTGTTTATCGGTAATAGTGGAAAGTTTCATGAGTGTTGATTATTCGTGATTTAGATGTGAAGGACAGGGGCATTCACGTGTTGTTTTGTGAATCATTAGTATAGAAATCAAGAGGTGTCATATGTGGGAAAGAAGGAAGTTCGTCTCAAGAAATTACAGAGTGGTTTTCGTACTTTTTACGCTAACTGTGTAAATGCATAATAGTCGTGGTTTTAACACCGTTCGAAATAATGTTAATATGAATGCACATGGTTTTTCTCCCCCATTGTTATGTGGTTTTTAGCATCTAATCGATCGATCCTTTCAAATTACAAAGTGGATTTGACACGATGCCCGGTTTCAAAGTTAAAAGAAAGAGTGGTTTTTGCACGCAAAGTGGTTTTTGCACGCAGAGTGGTTTTCATTAATTACATAGTCGTTTTCGTTAAATGATAAGTTTTCAGTGAATTTTTGTAATGGAATTTGTTAATTACATAGTGATTTTCATTAATTACATAGTTGTTTTCATTAATTATAGAGCGGTTTTTGTTAATTGATAAGTTATTAGTGAATTTTTGTAATAGAATTTGCTAATTATATAGTGATTTTCGTTAATTTACAGAGTGGTTTTCATTAATTAGATAGTGGTTTTTATTAATTACATAGAGATTTTCGATAAGTTTATAATGAATTTTCGTAACGGAATACTATAATGTTTTTTTGTAAGTTTATAGTGAATTTCAATTTGTTAAAAACATTTTTTTTAAATTTAATTGGAAAACAACAATATAAAAAATAAATAACCAAAATTAAGAAAATGAAAAATAATTTTTTTTAGAAACAAAATCGAATTTCTTTTATGACGAAATCGAAAATAAGAAAAGAAATAAAAATTAAATTTTTAGAATTGATTTGAGAGCATTATTTTGGGCATAAATGTGAAGCGTGATTTGGGGATATAAATTATGGGAAAGATTTGGTTGTAGATTATGTATATAATTTTTTTTTTAATTTGAATAATTATATTAATTATAGTAATAAGTGGGGGCATATATGGGTTTTCAAGCCCATTGAATTTATCTCAAATACCATTAATAAATTATGGATTTATCAAGAATAAAAAACTCAATGAATGGTGTTTGGCGTATTGCCCCTAATTAATAATAGGGATAGTATTGATATTTACGCTTCTATTACATTGCAATTTGCAAGATAAATCATCATTTTTCCAATTTCATGCATTTTTGACAAAAACTTTTTTCAAATTCAACATACCCCTCTATATAGTCAATATTTTTTTCTAGATAATTGTTTAATGAAATATCCAAACTCTAAACTGTGGTAAATTTATGGGTGGAAATTTGAAAGAAATTCCACTAATTTCGATCCAAAAATATCCGAATTTGGAATCGTATTTGTCTTTCCAATTTCCTAAGTTCTGGTTTTTTATTCTTCCGAATTTATTTGGAACGAAATTGGAATGGTATATAAAATTATTGGAAATTTCGATTTCCGATCCAATTTTAGTTCCGAATATTACTACGATTTTTTCGAAATATATAATGTAGTTTTGTGATATATTTTGTAATTTCATAATACAACTTATGTTAAATTTTATATGAAAAATATAAATACCAAAGGGTCAAGCAAATTAAAACATTATGTAAAATATTAGTTGGTATTAGGAAATTTATGTTTCATTTTTTCTTATAAGAAGTCTCTTTTGGATTTTCTTGCATTTTCCTACAATATTTTCATTATATCCGAATTTGGAACTAGAGATATAAACTAAGGCGGCCGTTATATGCAAGCCCATTTTTTTATAAGTTCAAGACCTCCAACATAAAAATACTAATTTACCATTAATGAAATTCAAAAGTAAATAAAAAACACAAAATATTAAAAAAATAAAAAAATATATTTCCTTTATGCAAGACCAAATAAAATACATAACCCCAGAAATCTCCTTTCATTATTTCAGGACTTAAAAATCTCCTCCTTCTTCTTCACAAAGCCACCAAGAAACCCTACACGCCGAAATTATCAAATACACACCAAACATTCACGATGGAGAACCCGATTTTGTAATCATTAATCGACATTACAACGCCATTTTTTTTTGTAAAATCGAAGTTGTATAGCCGATTTGGTGAACAAATTTCGGCATCAGAACACCGATTTTTGTTAAATAAATCGGTCTGTATAAACCGATTTCCGATTTCCGATTTGCATTCCGTGTTTTTTGGAACGGAATATATAACCCATTTTTTTATTTCAAAACAAAAATGTTTGTTTTGAAAAAGCAATTTCCGATCCATTCGATCTGATTTCCACCCCAAGGTAAACTTTGATTGTAAATATATAAGCAACGTTTGTATTGATTTATAATTTTATTTTCAAAAAACAATAAACATTACTTTTATTCTTAAATTTTTGGTTCAAAATATATTTTCCCGAAACGAAATGAAAATAAACTTCAATGCTTTCATACATTTTTTTTTCAATGCTTTCATACATTAATTTCATAATATTTGGCACACATTTAATACAAATATATAAAACTTATATTTATGTCTTCTTATATAATTTATGTACAAAAGAAATAGACAAAACAAAAATCAACCAAGTTATGTTACTTGAAAAGAAATTGAAAAAATAAAATAACAAATTTGAGGAATAACTTAATATAAAGTAGGTTAAAAAGTCCTGTTTTCTTACACAAATTAAGAGATTCAAATTTGCATTCAAATCTAAAAAATAAAGATAAAATCCCAATTCTTTTATTTGAATTAAAAGAAAATTATGAATTTTTGTCTAACTTTTTTTTCTTTGTTTATTATAAGTACTAATTAACGGACCAAAACGAATGGTACTGGCCCACACAAAATAAAATATTAATAAATAAAATATATTTGTTGACAGTGGGATTCGAACCCACGCCCTTTCGGACCAGAACCTTAATCTGGCGCCTTAGACCAACTCGGCCATATCAACTTTTATATTACTATATTCTATTGTATTATACAATTTCATTTATCCTAAGAACTGGGACATAGTTAATCTTCGAGTAATAACTAGCAAAACTTGTATATAACATAAACTAAAAGTGTAAATGATTATAATACATATTTTTAAATAGAGTATTAATTAGCATATTTATTATTATTAAATAATGTTAATTAAATTATTAACAAATGTAATATAATAATAAAATAAAATAAAGAAAACATTTGAAATAACTTGAGCTTAATCCATTTAAATCTTACGATTCGATTTAAATATTTGAATACAATATAAATGTAAAAAAAATTGACTAAATTCAATAATCTACAATTTGATTCCTATGATTTTTAAAAATTAAATTTTATTATTTTTTTGTAATAAAATTCAATTAAAAAGATATTACTTCAATTATAAATAGTTAATTTGATTAATACATCATTCTCAATAGTTGAGCTTAATCAACTCAAACATTTGATTGAAGCTTACGAATTGAAAGAAATTGATCTCCAACCGATTCAAATCTTACGAATAACATATTTAGATCTTACGATTTTAACGAATTATATTTTATTATTTTATGATAAGATTAAATTAAAAATATATTATACTTTAATTATAAATAGTCAATTCGATTAATATGTTCTTGTCAATAATATTTGCCTTTAAAATACTATTAAACCAAGTATTAAAGAAAATCACAACATGATATTTTGATTCTAGTCACAGCTATAGTTTTATTTTAAATTAGGAAAATTACTTGGAATGAGTTGTGATCTATTTGTATTAAAATAAATATCATCTATATTATTATTTTTTATAAATATATTCTTGTCAACAATTGTCCTATAGTAAAATTAATAATAATTTTAAATGTTCCTGTCAATAGTTGTTCTATAATAAAATAATCAATAATTTTATTATGTTCTTGTCAATAATTGGAATGAGTTAAAATCAATTTTTGTTAAAATAAATATCATCTACATTTTTGTTACGTTATACATATGTTATTGTCAATAATTTTCTTATATACAATAATCAATTATGTCAATACGTTCTTGTCAATAATTAATTTCAATCGGTTCAAATTTTTGAATTAATTTAAGAATTAAAAGGACTTGAGTATAATCAATCCAAATTTTACTATTTGATTAAACTATGTATTAAAAGAAGCCACATATAGTAATTTTTATTCTACTCCTCATATATACTTTATTTTAAAGTAGGATTTTTTTTATAGAGGAAGTAAGAAAATTGATTCAAATGTGTTATGATGTATTCTTTTTTCTTAGTGAACATCTGATTTTATTTTTTATTAGGATTTTTCTATTGGTCTTAATAACATAGGTGAACTTGTATTAAGTCATGCATTTGTATATATTTAATTGATTCAATTATTTGTAGTTTTTAATATTAGAGATTATTAATATTAATAATATTTAATAGTTTCTATTTGTTCTGATATTTGGAGTGATCATTGGGGTCATAATGACTATATGGGTGTAACATACCATTGGATCAATCGTGCATGGAAACTTGAAAAAAAAATAATTGGTTTTCCTGTTATTCTATAGAAGTTGTAGAATAACAACCATGGTCGAACGTATAATTCACATGCTCCGTATTATATGCGATTGATAAATTTATTCTATAGAAGTTATATGTTAATAAAAAAAAATAAAAAAAAAATAACTAAAATGTCATTGCATTAATGGTGCATGTTTTCGCAACAGAGCCAAATAATAAAAGAAAAAAAAAACATGGTACTAAACATATTTTTTGACAAGTTAGAGAATATAGTTGGGGTTTGAACTTAGAGCAAGATCAGAAATACTTTTTTCATGTTTATGGAGTTGGTGTGAAATATGTATATATACCATACTCCTGTTCACTAGATTTAGTTTGAGAAACCAAGTGAATTAATATATATTACACATGACTAATATTTAATGGTTCTGGTCGAAATTGAATAAAGATGAAGATGTTTTAGTCGAAGAGTGATTTATTTTTGGAGAAGAAACGTAAGAGTTTGAGCATTGCTTGCTGGACAATCAAGTGGTCTTAGCCAACTTTGCTTGCACTAGTCTTTCCAAGACAGCAGGTTCCAAAGGTATTGGATCAAGACATCGCTCAGCGGTGCTTACTATAACCTGCTCATTCATTCAAACAACAACAAACACATCTTTGTTATCTCATTTTATTCATTTCCCTTCCCTACACAAATGCGACAAAACGTACCTCATCAAGCAAGAAATCAACAGCAGCTTCTTCCTCAGCTATATCCTTTAAACAAGTCTTCAAAAAGTAAATGTCTAACTGAATTTGCTGGAATCCACTGCGGTTAAATGTCTGCAGCCGCACAAACTCTTGTAAACTCTTTAACGAAAGTTTCACTATTGTTGTTATCACCGATTCCTGGCAAATTATAACCAATCTATCTTATTCACAAATTGATCATAATAATATTATTATGCCTCATTTTTATGTAGGAAGAAAGAACCAAGGGCTAAAAAACCTGTGTATGATCAATTTTTGTGAAAATTTCCATCTTTTGTTTGAACAATTTCGCCAGGTGGCTCTCTAGAAGCTGGCTTCTAGCCTTCTGAGCATTATTTGACCTGCTCAATTTATCATCCCTCAAAGTATTACTCCGTGAGGATGCGGTGCTCCCATTGCTGTTTGTACGGCGATGTTTATTATGGAGGCCTTGTGGCAAAATTTGCTTTACTTCACTTGTTATATCCTCCAACTAATCCATAAAATATACAAGAATACTTTAGTTTCTCGAGCATTTATTAATCCTCCTACATTATCTTACTGAGAAGGAAGATAAATATTTGACAATTGCATGGGTAGATTTCAACCAAAAAAAGAAAAACTACGTTTGGATGAATTACCTCTTTGAGAAGTAAATCGACAAACATATGCACTTCTCTTGGTTCCTTATGCTGCAAAAGTAGGTGGTAATAAGATAAAGGAGCTATTGAAATATGGAGGAAATAATTCAATTCATAATTCAAAGGACTTTGCTCACCTTGAACCAGTTTGGGGCTGTGAACCTCTTCTTCAGGAGAAGTGATATTTTCAGAGTTCTCATCTTTATGTACTGAAAAATAATGAAACAAGCCAATCAGTATAAAATGCAACCTTGAGTTATTATTTAACATGACATCAAAGTTGATACCAGACAGACATTCAAGACAATAATCGAATACATAATATAATGCTCACAAGGTGCAAGAAAGTTTCCCCAGAAGACCGAAAGATGCGACAGATTTCAACTGGAACAAAAGCAGGACCATGATGTTCAAAGCCACCACCACCACCAGAAAAAGAAGCTAGTTCCTGAAAATTTCAATAGAAAACAGTCACATGATAAAATGATCTGAATAAACAAACAGTTAAAATTAGAAAAGCAAAAAATAAATGGAAGAGAAAGATGGATCCTTGCCTCGGTAATTCTAGGAATGGCAATTTGTTCAATATAAACAGTTAACTGAGCGAGAACAAGAACAAGACCAGCAGCAATTTTGTCTATCAAATTCACATCTTGACCTGCTGCTGCTGCTGATGTATTACTCTTTCCACAGAGCAAGAGGAAATGGCCATGGAGATTCGTGAAAAAATCTTGGAACCCTCTTTGGACCCAATCAATTGTTAAGTCTCTCAATTTGAGTAATAATTCCGGTTTTTCATCAATTAGCAGTTGGAAATCCTGAAGATCACAAGGATAAAGTTTAAACATTACGCAGCACATGTGTGATCATATATAGAAAATAGATACATAATCAGCTAAAAAATTGATATCCAAGTCCGATGGAGTATAAATCAACATGTTAACCAATGTCTTCAGATCAACCTATATTGTTCAGACATTAATGATACGGGTCGTGACAGGTATTAAGAGCATTCAAATATGGACAATACCAGATAAATGGAAAGGGAAAGGAGTGCTTCATTAAAGCAAAGCTGAAAGATAAAGTGTACTACATCATAATACTACAATAAGGCTGATATTAAGGTGGACTTGCAGATTTATATACCTATGTTGGAGTTTACAAAACAAGTCACTTACTTTCTTTTCATTAACATATATTGCATACCCCATAAGTTTGATCCAAAATAATATATAATCCAAATCCCAATGACTTCATGAAAATTTGAAAGGGACGAACAAGCTCATTTGTGTGGAAAGAAGAAATAATCACTAGAAACAATAATCTTTATCGAAAAAGGAATAGAGGGAATGAGAAATATAATGTCAACAAGAAATATTAGTGTAAGAGAACATGTAAAAGACAACATATAAAATATGTTTTTTCCACAACTTTTGTATCTTTACCAGCAAGACATCCAAACTACCCTGGATTACTGCCCTTTTGCTTGCTTCAAAGGCTGTCTCCAAAGAATTTTCTTCCACTGTATCCTCTTTCGGTGCAAATTGGACTTTCTTAAGCGAGTCTGCAAGATAACAAGAAGCTACAGTGATCACCCATAACTTCAATTCGACATGTTCATAATCTCCAACAATTACTATTTTTTTTAATAGATTGCAGAATATATATATGTGTGTGTGTGTGTGTGTGTGTGTGTATATATATATACATATATATATATATATATATATATATATATATATATATATATATATATATATTTCAAGCCTAAATTGACGTAGTTCAATCACAAGTCCTACATAGGAGAATATTTCACAAGTTCAATTTTAAAAAAAGGAGAATATTGTAAAATTAACACAAAAGGTCGTACGGCATCAAATGCACCACCAGAAACAAATATGTTAATCTTGTGGGTTTAATCAAGTATATACTAACCTGAAATATTAACTAAAAGGCGACCAAATGCACTGGATATATAATCTTTGACAGCAACACGGGCATACTAAAAACGGAAAGTTATCAGCTTATAAGTCTAAGATAACGTAATTGGGTAAATTATTACATAAAGTAGTTTAATCAGGGTTATTGAGACCTGCAAAGTAAACTCAGGCAAGGAAGCTTCGGGTAGCACTTCATCCATAAGAAGCACATCAGTCCAAGTAACTCCTGGAAAACATAAAAATTAATCAGTACCAAATTCAAGGATAACATTCAATTGGCGCCAAAATTCGAGCAGACAATAACTTACAGAAATTCAAAGATAAAAGACTCTACAGATGTGTCATTAAAACATATACAATTTAGTGTTCCATGCCGTTGGGCTGGAATAAGGCGAGAAGGAAAAAGTGCTTAACCGTTTTCTAACCAAGTAAGTCGATCTCAAACTTCCCTTAACACGCACAGCTATATCCTACCTCATCTTTGGGTGTTTTATCTATCCAAACTGGACTTTCTTGTTTATCTATCTTTAGGTGATTAATCTATCCAAAAATAAACTATCTACCCAAAGCATTTTACAATTATGTCCTACCCTTGCCCAGTGCATATTGTAGCTAACTACACCATCCTAAGATGCTGCAAAAAATGTACAGACCTGATCTAACACGAAATAATAAAAGAGACGGCATAGATAGATCGAACGCGAAAATTGGTAGTTGTTTATATCTCTGTAGATGTAAGATGAAAATACCCATGATCTAAAGAGTTAGAATAGAAGAGCAGAGGATTCAATTAAACAATTTAGTTAGACAGAGATTGCCATAGAACAAACTAGGAAAGACTTCTTCCGCAAGACAAACAAAAATTTACTAACATAGATAGGAAAGAATTGCCAAATAAAATAGATTTCTATTTTAACACAAATTCCTAACTATATTCCAACACTCGCCCCTCAAGTTGGAATAACTTAACAGACAAAAGAGGAATGCAAAAATAAAATAGAAACAATTCAAGTAATTCTCTAGGAGTCCCCTCTGTAGACAGCTTGATAGTTCACATCATCTTCAGCAGCATGCAAACAGATAGTAGTTCAGTCATCATAGTCGAAAACAAAAGACAAACTATGCAGTAGTCTAGTCAAACTTGACTGACACAGAGAGACGCACAATAACAAAAGTAGCGGTAGCAGAATCAAAATTAATTGACAGAAAGATAATAGAAAATTTTGATATATAGACAACCATCGTGTCAAATGACTCAATCCAAACAAGCTCATTGAATTTGTTATTATGGATTTAAAATCCTTCCTTCACCCTTAGAGAATTTCTTTTCAAAAGTCTCTCTCTTTCAAACATATTTGACTCTCTTTCACACATGATTTTACTACTACCGTAACAAATGTCTTCACTAAAATACAAACATCACTTTTTTCAACTTATTCTTTCAATATACCTGTCTCTGAACACCATTTGACATGATTTGATGGCTACACTGTAAATCTCCTCCTCGAAGTACAAAACACATTTCCTTATCTATCAAAGTCTTTCCCTAAGACATTTTTTTCCCAAAACAAAATTAAAAATATGGCCCCAAAATAGGGCCAAACATAGTCAAAGTAATTATTAACTTCAATTAGTTAACTTTGTCGTCTTAACCTTCTGGAAAAGTAGGTATCCGACAGATAGAGATCCCAATGACAGCTACGAGAAAACATATATCAAAGGATAATTTTTAAGATAACCTTAATGTAAGTTGTTAAGACATAAGGGTTTCTTCCCTCAAACGAGGCAATAATACTTAACAAGTATCCATGAATTCAAAGCCATCATCATACTTGAGCATAATTTTAAAATCTTATTCCTTTGTCGATTTGTCGTAATCTTGTATATCCTTACATATTCTTTAAGATATCATAAAGGCAATCCAGGTTCATGTAGTGCTATAATTTCTTCAACCCATTAACTACGATGCATTAGAATAAACTACCCCCCCCCCCCACATGGACAAAATGTTGCTGCATATCAACAAAAAATGAAATGATGAAAAGCTATAACTCCTGAAATATTGGAAGTAGTAGTTTTAATAATGATCGTCAATAATAACATACTCTGACAGAGCTAACTTACGAAGCATTGTTAGAAGATCTGCAGCACAAACTTGCTTCGTGATTTGTTGATGAGTAGCTTCGAAGTGCCTAAGATTCAAGCCAAATCAACGTTATATATAAGAACTTTGCCTATCATATAGACAATAGTATAAACCAAAATAAAACTGGTTAATAGTAGCAGCCATACTTCTTAACGAGGTCTTGTGCGAGTTTAGATAGTTGCGGTTCTGAATGCAAGAATATAACTTTATAAGCTCGCACAGCTTCCGCAAATTCACGAATAGAAGCCTGAAAGTAAGTAACGCTTGGTAAATAAATGGCAATATTAGAATTATACGATTAACAAAGAAAAAAAAAATTGTGCATAATTTTTTGGCATCTAAATTTCAGCGTAGCAGTTGAATATAATAACAAGTTGCCTCACGAGAAGAATGCATTTTTCAAGTATGGACTACACCATGATAACAAAATAAGTAACGTATATTATGTGTTTGGTACAGAGATGCTTATATCAAATGTGTATGATGTACTCTTCTTTTTATTTCACATACAACAAAACTATTGCACAACTACTTATTTTAGAAAATTTCCAAACATGTGAAAACAAAAAGGTAGATATGCTAAATGCTTTCATGATTGTTGCACATAATTCGAGTTTATTGCAATTAGTACCCCAATTTTACATCGAATTGCTAAAAAAGTACCGTATGTTATTTTACTGCAAAAACCCCCATGTGATCTAATTTTTTTTAGCAATTAGTACCCCTGTTTAGAAAGTTGTGTGCTAAACAAAATTGAATCATAGAAGGGTATTTGCCAATAAAATAACATGGGGTAGTTTTTTAGCAATTCGATATAATACACGAGTACTAATTGCAATAAACCCCACATAATTTCTTTCATCACCTCATGTATTGTAGCATCAGATGGGTCTGGATCACTACCCTGGTTAGGAGGCTCATTAACATCAACTGACAAATTTGTTAATTCCTTCGATTCAAGATGCAGGTCAACGAGGAACTGTTCCAACTTCTCAAACAATTTAACCTTCAAAGTTTCAACCTATTCAAAGAAACGGTAAAAACTATCAACAACAAATACATAGATACACTAATACGGGATGTTAAAATACTTCTTAACCAGATAATTGCATGTCAGTAGACATTATAAAATTCCACAAACAGCACTCAAATCAAATTTACCTATTTTAAGTTATTATTGAATCAGATAGATGCATTAAAATATGTCATGAAAGAGACAAAATCTGTAGATACAAACCGGAAAATCCAATTGCTTAAGAAGCATGACAGCCTCAGCTCTTGCTTGTATTGACTCGGAATCCGAGAAAACCTTCCCCTGAAAAAAAATAGTTAAATTTAAAACATCATGTTTCTTCAAAATATTTTTATCAGATAAAATACCAATTTGTAAGCTGGCTGAAATTCATTCCAAATCCAAACGACCACGTGTGTACGTTCACAAGGAGTAAAGGAAATGAGGGAGTAGGTAACCTTTCAGCATAAAACAAATATGAACTTGTTCCATTTTTTACCCTTCTTAAAATGATCTATAACTTGAATAGCATGTCCATATGGTTAACCCTACAGTAAACCATGTTGCAACTGGGAAATTCCATGATTTCTTGAAATTCTCAAACAACTCTTAGCTGCAGAAACTAGGTGATGAAATATATGTATGCTTATACAAGATTTACGGGAGATGGTGTCTATAAATTTGGTACCGTTGTTTCTATAATCTGAAAACATGACATAGTGAATTTATTTATTTTCCAAACCGAGTTTTTTCTTGCCATGAAAGGGATTGATATGTATTGGTGAAGGTAAATCTGTCTAATTATCTTTATACACTTCCATAAGGATTACGAACCGAGGAACTCAATTCAAGCGGTGAAGAAAAACAAGGGGGGAAAAAACATGCCTGTAAGTTTTTGATGATTATAGTAACAGCCTCTTCGGACGCTCGTTTACAGTCTTGAAAAGAAGACTCGCCATATGCCTAATAGCAGTAAGAAGGAACTCTTAGGAGCTAATACAGTCACTGATGAAATAGACTGGTCAACATTATGGATTGTACATTGAAACTATTAGGGAAGAAGATAAAACCTTGAAAATTGGCATGGCTCCAGTATAAAATTTGACTGCTTCAGCATAGGTTCCTGATTTGATACACTTCTCAAGTCTTGTGGGTAGATCATAAATAAACTGCCCCAACAACAAAAGCGAACATCTGTTCAACTCATATATGACTAGATTTACAAGGTGTATTAGAATTTTTCTTTTTTAAATAAAAAGAAAATGAACCTTTATCTCATTTGAACCAACATAGCATCTAATTGTTCAATTAGCAAATCTCTTGATTTATGGATGTTCTATTCCTCTAATTCATCATAACAGTTCACTACGTCCAATTAACAACTCTTCTTCTATTCCTCTAAGGTTGTCTATGGGTAAAGGTAATGTAGGATTCATACTTCACTCTAATACCTGAACTTTTCGCAGAAGATTGCGTGTGCGGTGCAACTTCTCTATATGCTCTCTCTTTTCGAAAAGAGAAGTGTTGACTCCATCACTCCTAGTTTGCACCGATGTTATCTGAACATTTTAAAAACGGAAAATCTTAAGTCATTGTCGTTCTTCTCCATGTATCCTCGTATCTAAATTCTGAAATAACATTTGCAAGTGACGTAAACAAATCTATACCAAACACCTTTTCCAAAAGCTGCTCCATATTCGTCTCCATGCCAAAAATGTTATTCTTCATCCTGCAAACACAGAAACAAAATAGGAAATGATTAGGATGACGACTGAAAGTGACTACTTGTGGGAAATTAACATCCTGAAAATGAAGCAGATAGTTAGGTCAACACTTTACTAACCCAATACAACAATTAGTACATAGAATTCAACAACAAGATTTATCCATAGAATTTTAAACTTATCTATCTATGTTTGTGACGAATTGAAACAAGAGATTTTACTTTTTGATTGTATCTGTGGCGCTGATGAATTTGTTGTAATTCTCATATACCAACATTTGAAGGTCGGTGTCAAGATTTTTAATCTCGGCAGCCATTTCAACATGCTTGTGAAGAAGACCCTCCAGATTTGACTTTTGTACCTACAGAATCAATCATTCAGTAAGCTAATAAATCAAGGGAAACATATTGCTACAATTAAAGGCAAACAATTAAATCTATTTCAGTAGAGGAAACATATTGCTACAATCGATTGTACTAACTATCCTTATAGACAGACAGCATTCTCATTTGTACCACTGCCATTTTCATTTGTACTCATAGTTCATGATATCTGAACTCAATTGCTAATGATTAGGTCGAACTCATTTTAATTAATTGATAATTCCACCGCAAGAAATTCTCTACCGAGACAAATAGGGAAAATGAATAAATCAACTAAAAATAAATTAACCATCAAACATTGGGGATTCAATTCAAGGAAAAGAAATTTAAAAAAATAATAATAATAATAATAATAATAATAATGAAGGTTAGAGGAGAAGAAGAGTACTAGGAGATTCATGTACTGATCGGCGTCGAATGAAGTGGTATTGATAGTGTCGAGTGTGGCGAATCTGGAAGAAGTGTTTCGGGGGAGAGAAGCAGATGAAGGAGAAGAAGTAGAAGAAGAAGAAGAAGAGTGATCTGGAGAATAAAAACTAGATAACAGATCTCTCATTCTCTTCGCCTTGTCATCCAACTGCACTCCTTCAACCTCCATTTTTTCTTTCTTATGTGCGAGCGAATTTGATGATTCGGAAATCCACCGGCAATCGCCCAACTGAAAAAAGAATACACAGCGCTCAAATTAAGAAATGGGTTTGTGTTGATATCGCTATTTTCCTCTCCAACCCAGTAAATTTAAGTTTAGTTAAAAAAAAAAAAAAAAAAAAAAAAAAAAGGCTACTTAATTAAAAGGGACGTCCAATTTTACTGTCTTTCATATAAATCCAGTTCATTCAAACTTATTTGCAAATAAAGAAAATTGTTTTATATATACCAAAATTACAATCAATTTATTGAAACTCAGTTTAACTCCAATTTCATGATTTACACCCCAATTTAGTCCAATTTCATCAATTAACCAATTTTAACCTTAATTTCAATTTTGACCCCAATTTTGACCCGCCACCACCGGAGACCGCCGGTCTCCGGTGTTGACTTTTTTTTTTTTTTTTTGAAAAACTTTTTTTTCTCTGAATTTTTTTTCGGCCGGTCAACTGCTGTTTACCGCCGGGTCTCCGGCGTTGACTTTTTCTTTTCTTCAAAAATATTTTAATTAATAATACTGTCTTTGCTGCTAAATTACTGTCTCCAACAGTTATTTAACAGTCGGAGACAGTAATTTAATTGTTAATTGACTTTTTTTTTAAATATTTTAATTAATATTATTGTATTCGTTGCTAAATTACTGTCTCCAGCAGTTATTTAACTGTCGAAGACAGTAAGTTAACTGTTAATTTACTTTTATATTCTTAAAAAAATATTTTTAATTAATATTATTGTATTCGTTGCTAATTTACTATCTTCGGCAGTTATTTAACTGTCGAAGACAGAAATTTAACTGTTAATTGACTTTTTTTTTTAATTTAACAGTTGATTTTGAATTCGAATAACGTTTTCCGAGGGTCTTGCGACTTGAATCTCGGATCGAACGTTGAACTTTGACTAACTTTGACTTGAAGTTCTTGATGGATTTTGCACTTCAATTTTCCTATGATTTTGACTTGAATTTATCAATGTTAATCCGAAGGTTTAGCACCGTTATCTCAGATCAAAAGCTGGATGTGATGAAGAACGCCTTGAATTTGCTCAAGAACACCTTGAATTTGACGAAAAATACTTTGAATGTAGAGAGAGAATCTTACATCCTACGAATTCTTCTTCATTGCTTCTTGAATTTTAGAGATAATTTTATTGAATTACAATCAATAAATTGCGGGTTACAATCTCTATTTTAATCTTCTGATTTTTCTCTCTAGAACAACATTTAGTTTACTTGAATTTTCGGAGCTAGGTCATTGACTTTATCTTCTCCGGATTTGATTGAATTCGAATAACGTTTTCCGAGGGTCTCGCAACTTGAATATCGGATCGAACTTTGAAGTTTGACTAACTTTGACCATTCAATCTTCCTATGATCTTAAATTGAATTTATTAACGTTAATCCGAAGGTTTAA